CCGCCAGATCCATAGCTATTGAATAGCAGTAGTCTCTGGGTGAGTAGAAGTGCAAGGTTTCTTCCCTCAAATTGTGACAGGACAATGTATACTGAACATACATACATATGAATCACATGTTATGGGTCAACAGGGACCTTAAGCATCTGAACTAACAAGCATATGGCTGAAGGTTCACTCCCCATGTTAATGCCAAATGTAACATGTAAAATCTCATTAGTGGCAGCCCTGCGTTAAGATTCATCGATCCCGTCTCCAACAGAAGAAACAGTAGTCAAATTGTAGAAGTCATCAAATTACACATATATTAGGAAACTTAAGTATTGATAAAAACAAGCATAAAGTATCCTGAAACCTCCCAGTCCCAGCAGCTAAAAATCTATATTAAAAACTTGCTTCACATGAAGATAAACCAGATAATGTAAATATGTTTTCCATGTCAAAATATTGCATGTCAATTACATACCCAGTGTCTTCATTTAGCTTATTTCTGCCTGTTATTACTCAATGCAATCTGTCAAAGTCTGTGCATTACAGCAGTCTTGGTCCCATTATGTGAGATAGTTGCCTAAAAGACACTTTATTCAAAGCAAAAGCACGGTAGAGGCTGTGAAAGCCTTCTAAGCTGCGGAGATCCCCCCTCCCGTGCAGACCATTGTGTTTCCGTTGTTTACTGAGGAGAGCAGCCTGTTGCTGGTTTCTGTTGACATGCTGTGTCTGTCCTCCTGCAGAAAAAGGACCCGCTGACGTTATCGAAGAAGCCCAACAACGCCTGTTCTGTCGGAGGTGTCAACTACACGGCCAACATCACCAAAGACACAGCCATCGCCACCATCTCCAACAGCACCTCCGTGCCGCTGAAGTCCGCTGAGGCCAAGGCCCCTGACCCCAAGAAGACGTACAACAGCGTGAGCAAGATTGACAAGATGTCCAGGATAGTGTTCCCGGTTCTCTTTGGAACCTTCAACCTGGTCTACTGGGCCACATACCTCAACCGAGAGACGGTGGAAAGTGGAGCTATGTCATCCACATAAAGCTTCACAGCTTGTAGCCCTCCCGACTTCAGCCATATTGTTCCACAAACTGGATTACCATAGAAACCAGTGTCAAGCACTGAAGACTTGCTCTAGTCATAAGTTGTGAGAACTTTTTTTTCCATAAATTGCATGAAATGCCATGTCTGCCTTGACTATTTCTACTTTATATTAGTCGATTAGTTTTTCTGGAAGAATCTTCGTTCTGTTCATCCCAGCGTGAATTGTCATCATTGTCAATTAATATCACGTCCCCGGTGATGGGGCCACATAGCATTTGACACATACATCTTAGTAATTGTAAAAAAAATGGGTCACATTGGACGCATAGGTAAAGCAAGTCAAATGCTATGCAAACATTTTGTACCGCGCCGCTCGACAGAACGCCCCTGCTTTAGTTACTGACGCTGGCTTGCGGCTTCACTTATTTAAGAGCGGAATATGAAACTGAATGACAGCTTAAAGAGCAGCTATGGAACATGCCCCCCTCCCTGCGAGCAGCACCCTTGCCCCCACCCCCCACCAAAAGGTAACACTGGCCTTTCCTGCAGTTTCCTCCTGTGTCTGTAATTTCCATGTCTGTGCTCATGCAACGTTTGGTTTAATTATTTAGGGGTCAGGAGCGTCCACGTTTGATGACTTTCTTATTAAGCTCCTAGGTACGATTTTGCAGACTCGTTTACATATAATCCTTGGCTGTGGTTTTAACGTTCCTCTTTGTAAATACGCACAAACACATACGCACACGCCCACACATTCATTCTGCGGTCAGGAACACGTCAGCACAAGCCCGAAGGAGAGCACACAGTGGCCTATCCTGTATGGTGCAGACAAGGCAACTCGACTAAAATCTGCCTACGGAAAGCGCTAATGTCTGACATTGATCTCCTCGACTGAACCAGCGCCTCTTTGATCACCACCGTTTCCAGGCTGCAGAGTAATTATTAGCCTAATTTGTTTCTATATTGACGTAGTGCTCTGCCTTTTAATGCTAATTTGCTTACTAAACGTCAGTTCCAATGCTTTTCCTTACTGTAGATACATGTATCTTTGCAGTCAGCTTATCTGGTGATGTTAAAGTGCTCCTTTGACTGCTTGATAGTAAAATCGACATGGGGGCTTTTCAGACCGAGGTGAAGTCTCCATAAAGGGAGCCTAACGGTGTCACTGCAATCCGCCTGTGCCCAAGCAGGACCTGCCAGATCCTGATGGCTGGTCACACCAGACGGCATGAAGTACTGGCAATGCCCAGATGGGGGAGCCAGTCACCGACTTGATCTTTGGATGGGGAGCCTGACTAGCCAGGGGAGACCCCCTCCCCCCTTTCCCCACCACAGGCATGCTTCTGGGATTGGGCTCTAAGTGCTGCCCAGGCTAATTAATGTCAGACCAAGAAGGCATTTTTAATCCAAGATGTCCATTGTGAGAGGAAGTCCCACCCAGCGCCAGGACCCCTCCCAGCCCCCTCCCAGGACCCCTCCCAGCCCCCTCCCAGGACCCCTCCCAGGACCCCTCCCAGCCCCCTCCCAGGACCCCTCCCAGCCTCCTCCCAGGACCGCTCCCAGGACCCCTCCCAGCCCCCTCCCAGGACCGCTCCCAGGACACTTTGCCCTGCATAGTTTCATTATACATTTAACATGGGGGGGGGTTGTCATCAACTCCTTAGGGCGATTCAGGAGAGTCACCTTTGTGTTTTTTCTGTCCCATCCCTCCTCTTGGACATGTACAGACTTGGGCGTTTTCTGAGACATGCATTGTTACTTTCACTAATGTGCGGCTTTCATTTGGAGCATAATGTGACAAAAGCAATAATAAAATGAATGATATGTCTGGTGGCTGTGGCCTTCAGTCCTTTCTGCATGGATGGACAAGCAGACCGGTGCCAAAATGTTCTGTATTCACAGGGACTTGTTTCGTGCGTGTGATCGAGCCAGAGATATAATGGATCCCAAATTAATCCCAGATATCTCCTCCCAAATAAGGAGACAGCCATGGATAACTAACAATGACCTTAAAAGATCTACATCTACTGAACATACGTGTGTTTGTGTGCCACATGCCAAGAAGGAAGTGTTAAGGTCACCCTGCACATTAGGTTATCACACAGCCTATCCTAACGTGAGCTATTGTATGGCATTGTATGGCAAATAACCCACCTAAGGATCCCGTGGGTATTGTGTGTCAGTCGCGGCCTCAGTGAGAGTGGGGGGATCTCTTGGTCCACACTCCAGATTGCAGGAAATGCACGCGTGGGGTGGGGCTCTTTTAGCAGGGAGGGACAGGTAATCCGCCCCACGTTGTGCACAGCAGCAACATCTGGCATCCAGCTGTTTTTCGCAGGTTTAGTTCTGCTTGCTTTCCAATTCAGCAACATTCTCCTGCAGTGCATGCTGGGAGTCTGGTTGGCATTCGGCAAAGCATCCTTCCAGTCTTACCAAGCTGCTCCAGTTTCATTTACAGGTTTGATGGCTTTTTGGTGTGAGCCATCCTTACAAATGCTCTTTGTTCTAATACCGTGGACTTTTTGGTTCGGTCCAAAACCACAGGATACTGCACAGCTGGAGCTCATGGTGTTCTTAACCATCAGTGTTGGCTAGTGCTCTTTGTGTTCATTTGTGTCTGTGCATTTGAGCACAAGAGATTGGTATAATAATGCTTCCTTAATATAATAAACTGTACTTTCTCTTTTATTTTAAATAATCTGACATGAGGAAAGTGAAAGAAAGATTCACTGGACAATAGAGGCTGATAACAGTAAATTCTAAGGGATAATTTCCCATCAAGACTGCACAGACATATTTATAAGTTCGTTTTTTGTCAGACAGACTCACTCCATACCATGTTACAGGACAGATTTTCTGCTCAGATACTTCACGTCAAAGAAAAAAAGCACATAAATATTTGCTTTTCAGGAAAGGACCACAAGTTCATCAATGTACTATGATGATGTCACCCTTTGTTTTGACATCTCTTCCAATGACACATCACTGTTTGTCACAAACCCCTTCATATACATTTATGTGAATACATTTATCGCCACATTGCTACTCATTAATATGGAAAAATTCACCTGAGGAGAGCTATCAGAGCAAACAGGAGCCTAGAATTGGTGTTTTCAAGCATTAACCTGCCACCAGGAATCATCAACCCAAACAACAGGTGAGTATCTAAGGGTATGTGGATACATGGAGTATTTTTGTCCCATACTTTTTGAGGGCGGTTGCATGGTTGAGCTCGGTCTCAGCTAGAGCTGATAAACTTGACCTATATCCTGACAGTTGCTGTCTGGTAACACATCGTGCCTCTTGGCAAACTCCCACGCTGGAGACCGCGTGGAGAAGACGATGACGGATTCGGTAGGTGCGCACACCTCGCCTACGAGGGACCTACTAACATACTAATCTCCTCTTTTGATGCAAATTCTTCGTTGGTATTTATTTGTTATATAACCGTAATTATGTACTCAGGAAGAAGCTTTTAAAAAGAGAGAACTGAACCATCCAATGAAAGATTCCTCTGAATTAGTATTGTGTTTTAACAACAAAGCGGTTAAAGCTTTAATCCATGCACGCGCTCCCGGTGTTTGCTAACCATACATCGCGTTTGGGGGTTCCGGTCCATCATAGAGCGCGGGGTTCTGAGCTACTCAGTAATTAGTAACTGATTTACCCCTGAACTTGGAAGGTAACCTAATTTCCTTTAGAAATAACGATTTGGCCCTGTACATACGAGAGAGCTTCCGCGTCTATGCCTCTCCGTGCGCATTACTCCGATCAGCCACAAGAGGATAGTCTGACATGCATGTAGCGGCACTGTACAGGCGTCTGCCATTGTTTCTTTTTATTAGGCTATTATATAGGAAAAGTATACAACACGATCGAATTAAAAAAGAATATTTTGTTACTATCCGTAATGTTACCCAAAAACCAAATCCTTCAAAAACCTAAGGGTCAATGTAAGCACACCAAAATGCTATTTAGTTCCACGTTGAAATACGTAAGTACATATAGTAGGTCTTTTGGAAACTTTGGATACTTAAATATCGTAGTATTTTTTCGTGTGAACGCAGTTTAACATCGTTAGCCTTGTAATGATTGTCGTTGACGTGCTTGCTTATTACTAGAGAACATCTCTGTCCATGGTCCTGAAAATAGTAAAGTGTCGCTTAATCAAAGAAAAAAATACGTAACTTAAATTATATAAATTATATATAAATATATTATATATATTTTTTTTAATTCAATAAGTGATGTTTATAGTCAAAATGCCCAAAAATTATGGCTTGCTGACACGCATTCTAATTTTTTATTACGTTTCATGACTAAATGGACTGAAGTTGGCTGTTTGTTGCGTTAATCTGATCGCCTGGCATGTTCTGTCCACGAAGATCATATTCCTTTCCCCTAATCCCTTTGGAAACTGACTTGTATAGGATACTACCAAAACATGCGCCTGGTCATCCCTAGTATTTGTCTGTTACAACACAGAGACCGAATAGCCTAGTGCGTAAATAGTGTGTAAATGTAGGGTTGATACGAACCGTCCCGTGATATTATATGCTTAAGGGATTTCTTTAATAAACCAAAAATCTAATTTGAACCCTTAGTCTTAGTTAATTACCCACCAACTCAGTAATTGATTGGGGTCTGTGATATTTTATTTTCTATAACAATCATGTAAAAGTGAAATTAATTCAACAAATATTTCTGTTTGTATTTGGAGACTTGTGTCGTTAACAAGTCCTGTTGAAAACTGCATTTCATAGGCTCAGTAAAGCCGTGGGAGTCTGCAAGGAAAAAACAAGAACTAATGAAATGTCATCGGCACAAGCGGGTTACTGCGACGAGGGAAATTGGCGGGCGTCTCTATAGCCTGTACGTAGACAAGGATCACAGGACAAATCCCTTTTGTTGGTAATATATCTGAATGCCGTCCCCGCAAAATGTGACGTAATGTGAAGATATCGAGCTTCTGGATTGCATTTGGAGGTCTGAAATGCATTTGGAGGTTTGTAGATTTCCCACTTTGGAAGTTGGTCTTCTTGCTTTAGAAAACGTCACTATGTCCGCGCATAAGGCGGTGCACTCCAAGGCGGCCGTTACAACTGTAAGGTGCGTAAGGGGCTGGCTTAAATTTTGAGACTTGAATAGCGATGTGAAAGTGTTGAAGGCGCTCTAAATCCTGAACACCCGTCAGACGTGGATGCATGACTTGTTTTTGGATTACAAAGTATTCGCGAATCCCCTTCTCTGGTTCTGAGTGACAAAAACTGGCAGTTGAAATTGGGAAGAAAAAGAATGATCGACGCAACAAATTCATCTCCAAGCTATCTTCTCATAAATATGTCAACCAAATTACTGCTTTATGTTTTGCTTCTGTCAGTCCTCAGTGCGTGGTAAGTGACGTTACCGTTATTCACCTGTGTGCTTGGTTGCTTTATGCTATTCATATGAAATGTCTAAGAATTTACCAGACGGAAAGGTCCATTCCCCGTTCATATATATAAATTGTTTAATATATGGACAAATACGGAAACAATAAAAAAAATACAACAGATAATATTTATTAAAATTTGACAAGATTATGCTTTAATGCTTCATTGTTCATTGTTTCGTCAATTGGTGAAAACTACAGGTGATAAATATCAGATATGTTTCTGTAAGTTTTTGCGCTCTGAAACCAGTTACATTTTGTTTGTAGTGATTGCCCGAATGGTATTATACACAGCACAGATCTTTGATCCCTGAAAGCTTATTTGTCAGCCATACGCCTGATATAAATATTTATAGTAGTTAAAACACCACATATAAACGTTTCGCTCAACTGCTGCAGTATACATATTCATGTATGTTAATTCTAATCAACAATACCTTTCCAATTATGCCGTAAGAAATACAGAAACATATGTTACATTTTCAGCTTCATGTATTTCCGTGTCTTAACATTTAGATCATAAAAGTACGATCAAAATCACTTTTCAAAAATGGGAAATTATTAACGTTATCTAAGTCCCATTTCTAAAAGTGTACAACCACCTAACTCATAATGATTAATGGCTGTGGCTGAGTGCGGCTGCCCAAGTGAAGAATACAATAAGTGTTTTTCTTTATTAAATTATCCTTTGTGTCTTTTTTCTAAGCTACATTTGTACATCCCCAAAACCAGTGACGTATATATATTGTAGGTTTCCTCGCCGTCTTTAAAGTAAGAACGACTCTGCTCATAATCTGGGGATTGTATCCTTTTATTTTTCTAAATGCCGTAAGCAGGATCTCGTCTTCTAAAAGTTCGCATAATGAATTAAAAGTAAAACAAAGGGGCAGCCAAAGCTCACTCCGCGTCAGCACAGAAGCCCGCTGTTTGGTAGCGGCGCCGCGAGAGATTTGAGTCGTTTTTTTCTTACAAATCCTATTTGCATAATATGTACAATGAATTCCAAATGCACAAGAAAAAAAGTTACTATATGACTATACCGCATGCAAATATGCGCATCTGTGAATGGCAATTATGAAGTTAAGCCCCTTATGTCGATCTATTATGTCATTAATAGATTGGCTGGTTTACTGTTTGCTTGGACCATACATGCTGTCGGAAGAAAAAGGGGGGTAAATTTAACTGTTTGTAATCTTTTACAGTTCCCAGACAATCGAATACGAAGAGGAGTATGAGGATGTTACTGTGAACCAAATGCTGGCCCCCAAGACTCAAGAGACGGACGCCACGCAAATATTGAATAACTTACTGAAGGAGTATGACAAGAAACTGCGACCAGACATTGGGAGTAAGTCACCTGTACGATTTTTACTTAACACTAGAAAGACTGACTGGGTCAATTGACCCAAATCAAACAAAATCACTGCTATTTCTTATTGAAGTTCTTGCTACAAAAATCTGAAAAAAGTTAGCTTCAGTTAGCTTTCGTTTGACAGCTCATGCATATTTTGGCCAAGCATTTGCCGCAAAC